TTTTGCCAGAATACGTCATACATAATTTCCATACTGTTGTATGCATTTCACATCTTCTAACTCTATTCACTCAAAGGGATAATTAAAAGAAGAGGTATCATTTTCAGGCATTTCCTTAACTTTTTAATTCCCTAGAATTTTTAAGGTATTTATTAGACACATGTTAATACTTGTTTCAAAGTCCAGAGAGAGGTTTGCAGGGTATTGCTTGGAACAATTCCATCAGTGCTGCCTCCTGAAAATCCTGCAAATCTCTTGGGAAGTCAGGCGGACAAATGCCAGAATGCTGGAAGAAGCAAAGACCACCAGCACTGAAGCAATAGTCCTATGACATCAACTCCGCTGGACCGGCCATGTTGTCCAAATGCTCAAGCACCGTCTCCCAAAGCAGTTGCTCTACTCTGAACTCAAGAATGGGAAATGGTATGTTGGTGGAAGGGGAAAGCGATTTAAAGATGGGCTTAAAGCCAACCTTAAAAACTGTGGTGTAGACACCGAGAACTGGAAAGCCCTGGCCTTTGAGTGCTCTAACTGGAGGTCAGCTGTGACTAGCCGTGCTGCAGAATTTGAAAAGATATGAATGGAGGACGAAAGGGAGAAATGTGCCAAGAGGAAGGCACGTCAAGCCAACCCTGACAGGACCACCTTCCATCTGGAAACCAATGTCCTCACTGCGGGAGAACATGCAGATGAAGAATAGGGTTCCACAGCCACCTACAGAACCACCACCAGGACACCACATCTGGAAGACCATCATCCTCAAGCTACAAGAAATCGCCTAAGTAAGTAAGTAAAAAAGTAGTTCAACCATTGGACTAGGGGTCTGGAGACCAGATATCTCAGCCATGGAAGCTCTTGGACATTACACACTCTCTCAGCCTCAAAGGAAGGCTAACTATGCCATGCCAGGAATTGGGTTTAGGACTTTCTTCCTAAAAGAGGTTGTGAATAACTCCCCAGGCCAATGTTGAGGAGATCTCCATATGGCCTTTCTCCCTGGAGAAGAAGGTGACCTTGGAGACCCCCCTCCCCAAGAAAATTGAGGGAGAGAGACCACCTCCTTCAATCAGACAAAAATGACTCCAGACTCTTGAGGCTTGTGGGATTGGTGCATTTATTGGCAAGGGAAGGAGAGGAGTATAGGGACCATCAAGTGGGGATGGTGCAGGATTGGGACTCTTCTTGGAGCAGGAGAGATGGGCAGGGGTGGTCCGGTCTGACAGCTTGCGTGGTCACGGTCCCTGGATCCAGACTGTGAAAAGAGAGATCCACAGAAGCACAGAATCTCAGCCAATATCCAGTCCTTCTTAGAGCTGTGCAGATCCCACCTTTGCTATTTCCGTCTTCCCCAAAGTAATGAAATTATGTCAGTAAACTTTCCCCTGGATATATAAGTCACTGGAGCTTTTGGATGCTTCACTTCAAACTGCCCCATAACATTCATTCTCAAAACTATCTCAAAGGGAAGTTTTCTGAGGACCCATCAAAACAGGTAGGGATTCTATTGAAGGGTCAAAGATTCCTGGATGGGCTCTGGAAGCCATTCCATCTCTGTTCTCCTTGAGTAGCTTCCTTGGTTCTAAACCAGATACACGTATCCCTGCAGATGCTCCAGAGCAGAGGAAAAGAACTCACCTGTGATAGGCTCAGTGCACATTGCTGAACATCCACGTCTGCAACACTTCTTGGGCCCAGGGCATTCATCGTCTGAGGAGCACAGCAAGCCACAGTGTGTTCCTGTGCCTGGAGGTACACTTGATGGTGGGCATCTCCCAGGCTTTACTGGAAAGGAGGACAAAAAAAGCTGTGAGACATCCCTCCCCAAAGGTCCAGGCAGCTGCTCTTGTGCCTTCCAACATTTCCAGGGTGGGAATAGCAGCATGGCGCAGCGCAATCTTTCCCTTCCAGGTCAAATGAGCTGGAAAAGCAAACCTCTTGTCATATGTTCCATAGTTGATGGTGGTTGGTGGTGTAGACCTGGCGTTTGTTTGTTTATTTATTTATTTATTATTCAAACTTCTATGCGGCCACTCCCCTGGGGCTCGGAGCGGCTTACAAGAACAGGCTAAAATCGAACACAACTTAAAAACAATTTAGAAACAGCAATAACAAAGATCAAAGGCCTGTCAAAACAGATATGTCTTACATGCCCTGTGGAAAGCTGATAAGTCCTGCAAGGCATGGACTTCAGGTGGCAGAGTATTCCAGAGCGATGGCGCCACTGCTGTAAAGGCTCTGCGCCTGGTTGGTGTTAGACACAAAGTCTTGACACTGGGAATTTCCAATAGATCTTGGTCCTCAGAACGGAGAGATCTCTGGGGTTGGTAGGGGGTGAGGCGGTCCCTCAGGTACATCGACCCCAGATCATGCAAGGCCTTAAAGATGAGTACCATCCCTTTGAAAGTGATCCGGTGCTCATTTGGTAATCAGTGCAGCTGCAGTCAGATTGGGGTGATGTGGCATCTCATCAGAATTCCCGCCAGAAGCCGAGCAGCTGCATTTTGCACCAATTTGAGCTTCCGGATCACTGACAGAGGAAGGCCAATGTAGAGGGCGTTACAGTAGTCCAGTCTTGAGATGACCGTGGCCTGGATCACCTTAGCTAGGTCGTCCCTGGACAGGGAGGGGGGCAGCCATCTAGCCTGCCGCAGGTGAAAGAACGTGGTTATGCTCACGGCGGAGACCTGGGCCTCCATCGTCAGCAGCAGAGGGTCCAAAAGGACTCCCAGACCCTTGACCAACGATGACCAACGTAGCACCTCACCATCCAGGGTAGGCAGCTAGAGATCCCCACTGCCCGTTCGACCCAGCCATGGGATCTCCGTCTTTGCCGGATTCACCCTCAACCTGCTGGCACGCAGCCATCCAGTAACGGCCTCGAGGCACTGATGGAAACAATCGGGTACAGAGTCCGGTCGGCCTTCCATCTTCAGCACAAGCTGAGTGTCATCAGCGTACTGGTAACACTCAAGCCCAAAACCTCGAACCAGCTGAGCAAGTGGTCGCATATAGATGTTAAACAACAGAGGGGAGAGAATGGCCCCCTGAGGAACCCCACAAGAGAGAGGGGACCTCTCAGAGACCAGGCCTCCCCTCTCCACTCGCTGTCCACGGTTGTGAAGAAAGGAGGACAGCCAATTCAAAGCTCTCCCCCTGACTCACTCCAACAGCAGCAAGGCAGTGGGTCAAAAGATTGTGGTCGACTGTGTCCAATGCTGCTGTGAGATCCAATAACACAAGCAGCGCCGACCCGCCCTGGTCAAGCTGGCATCGAAGCTGACCCGTGATGGAGACTAGCACAGTCTCTTTCCCATGCCCCGCACGGAAGCCGGACTGGAAGGGATCTGGTCCGGCTGTGTCGTCTAGGAACTGCTGCAACTGCTCCGCTGCTGCCCTCTCCATCACCTTGCCCAGGAACGAGATTCGAAACTGGGCGGTAACTGGAGGGAACCGAACAATCTAAGTCTGGTTTCTTCAGCAGGGGAAAGACCACCGCCTCTTGATGGAAGGGTTAATGTAAGTCTTGGTTCTAAAGGGCTGAGTAGAATGTAAGTAACAGTTTACAGCTAAAAGCAATTAAGGGTAGAGGCATGCAAGGGATAGGTTGCATCTGAGTGTTACTGAATTTAAGGAGCCCAAAAGACATATCATTTTCAGGCATTTCCTTAAATCTTTAATTCCCTAGACTTTATTAGGTATTTTACAAGACACGTATAAATAATTGCATTGTTGAAGGCTTTCATGGCTGGAATCACTGGGTTGCCGTAGGTTTTTTCGGGGTATTCTCTCCATCTTGGAAAGCAGTGACAAGTGGAGTGCCGCAGGGTTCGGTCCTGGGCCCAGTCCTGTTCAACATCTTTATTAATGACTTAGATGAAGGGCAAGAAGGCAGGATCATCAAGTTTGTAGATGACACCAAATTGGGAGGGATAGCCAATACTCAAGAGGAGAGGAGCAGGATTCAAAACGATCTTAACAGATTAGAGAGATGATTGGCCAAAACTAACAAAATGAAGTTCAACAGTGACAAATGCAAGAGACTCCACTTAGGCAGAAAAAACGAAATGCAAAGATACAGAATGGGGGACAATGCCTGGCTCGAGAGCAGTACGTGTGAAAAAGATCTTGGAGTCCTTGTGAACAACAAGTTAAACATGAGCCAACAATGTGATGTGGTGGCAAAAAAAGCCAATGGATTTTTGGCCATGTATAAATACGTGAGAGGAAGTCATAGGGAGGAGGGAGCAAGCTTGTTTTCTGCTGCCCTGGAGACTAGGACGCAGAACAATGGCTTCAAACTACAAGAAAGGAGATTCCATCTGAACATGAGAAAGAACTTCCTGACTGTGAGAGCCGTTCAGCAGTGGAACTCTCTGCCCCGGAGTGTGGTGGAGGATCCTTCTTTGGAAGCTTTTAAACAGAGGCTGGATGGCCATCTGTCAGGGGTGATTTGAATGCAATATTCCTGCTTCTTGGCAGAATGGGGTTGAACTGGATGGCCCATGAGGTCTCTTCCAACTCTTTGAGTCTATGATTCTATGTTTCACCTGCATCTATGGCAAGCATCCTCAGAAGACCTCACAACCTATGAGGATGCCTGCCATAGATGCAGGCGAAACGTCAGGAGAGAATGCTTCTGGAACATGGCTGTATACCCTGAAAAAACCTACAACAACCCGTATTAATAATTGTTTCAATGTGCAGAAAGAGGACTACAGGGTATTGATTGGATCACTGGACTAGGGCTCTAGAGACCAGGTATCTCAGCCATGGAAGCCTACTGGATGCTCTTGGGCAAGACACACTTTCTCAACCTCAGAGGAAAGCTCTCCATGGCATGCCAGGAATGGGATTTAGGGCTTTCTTCCCAAAAGATGTGCTGAATGCCTCCCCAGGGCAATGCTGAGGAGATCTCTATGTGTCCTTTCTTCCTGGAGAAGAAGGAGACCTTGGAGATCCTTAGGAAAAGACCACCCTCTTCAGTCAGACAAAAATGCATCCAGACTCTTGAAGCGTAGAGGACTTCTGCATTTATTGGCAAGGGAAGGGGAGGTCTTAACAAAGCAGTACAGGAACTATAAATGAGGCAAATTGGGATGGTGTGGGATTTGGGCTCTTCCGGAGAAGGAGAGATGGGCAGAGGAGCTCCGGCTTGACATCTTGAGTGGTCACGATCCACAGATCCAGGCCTCCTTCAAGGTCAGGCTGTGAAAAGAAGAGAGAGAGTCAGAGACAGAAGGAGGAAGTGTGGTGAGACCCACAGAAGCACAGAATCTCAATCATTATCCAGCCATTCTTAGAGCTGTGCAGATCCCACCTTTGCTATTTCCGTCTTCCCCAAAGTGATGAAATTATGTCAGTAGACTTTCCCCTGAACATGAGAGCTTTTGGATGATTCACTTCAAGCTGCCCCATAACATTCTCTCTCAAAACTATCTTAAAGGGAAGTTTTCTGAGGACCTATCGGTTCTGTCACGCGCTGGGCCTGTAATAATTGTCTTTTGAAGAGGACGTGCACTTTGTGCCCAGCGGGAAGCCAGGGTGCCTCGATAGAGAGGCCCTTAAGGATTTTGCTATAAACAGTCTTTAAAAGGCTTGAAAGGTTTAACAAAGTCCTTTATTATTGAACAAATTAAACAAGTACTTCTCAGGTCTTCAATGAGTCAAACAAATGCTTCAAGGCTTTGAATCAACTGGTGGCTTACTTAGTCTTGTCTACAAGGGACAGGCAACTGGCTTTGTTAACTGTTCCTTCTCTTTAAGAAGAAAACCCTTTTGTAACCTCTCCCGGGCTGTCTACTATCTAGGCTTTGCTGATGTGGGTTCTACTACCGGATCCAAACTGCTTCTTGGGCACCAAGTAGACCTACCAGTCAAGGCTTGTAAAATCTCCAGCTGGAGTTCTCTGGGTCTGTAAAACTGTTTCCCCCCGGAATTTCTTCAGAAACTTTAGGGCTGTTTCGCTCAGATGCTGTAAGGCTGAGAGGCTGTAAGCTCCCAGCCAGAGCTTTGGGACCTTTCCCCTGGAAATTCTTAAGAAATGAAGCTTTTCTGCAGGTGAAGCTGGTCCACGTCCTATAGCTTAGTTTCCTTCTGTAAGACTGAACTAAAAATGGCTCCCTCTCCTCCCATGGCCCTGGGGAAAGGGGTGGAACCAAACTTAACAATGATAGACAACTGGCTAGCCCTATGACTGCAAACCAAGGGAAGTCACATTTTTGCAAAACCCCTGAAACCTTGGAATGCATGTAGACATTTAATAGAAAGAAAATGAAGTTGGAGCTCTTGGTACAGCACACTATCAGATCCACTGGAGAAAAACAAGTAGGGATGCTATTAGAGGGTCAGAGATTCTTGGGTGGGCTCTGGAGTCCATTCCATCTGTTCCCCTTGAGCCCAAAAGACATCTCTTCCTGCAGGGAGATTGGGATTCACATACTTGGCAGAGAGTAGGGGGGATTTGGAATTGCATCATTAGCTGATGCTCCCGTATGTCCCACCTGCCCCCTACTCCACCCTAACCCAATATGACTCCAGGAAGGATATGGCAAAGGCAACTCAGCTGCCCAAGAGGAGAGGGAGCTGGAAGTCAAAGAAGGATGGCCTGCTATTTAGTGGGAAGGTAGCTTCCCTGGTTCCAAAGCAGATACCTGCTACCCTGCAGGGACTCACCCTTGAGAGGATCCATGCAGGATGCTGAACATCCATATCTGCAACACTTCTGTGCCCCAGTGCATTCAGAGTCTGAGGAGCACAGCAAGCCACAGTGTGTTACCACGCCTGGAGGTGGATCTGGCGATGGGCATCTCCCGGGCTTTACTGGAAAGGGGAACAAATACAAAAACTCTGAGACATCCCTCCCCAAAGGGTCAAGGACCTATGTATTGTCGAAGGCTTTCATGGCCAGAATCACTGGGTTGTTGTGGTTTTTTCAGGCTATATGACCATGTTCTAGAGGCATTCTCTCCTGACGTTTCGCCTATATCTATGGCAAGCATGATGCTTGCCATAGATGCAGCCGAAAAATCAGGAGAGAATGCCTCTAGAGCAGGGGTAGGGAACCTTCGGCCCTCCAGGTGTGGTGGACTTCAACTCCCACAATTCCTTGAGGCTCGTGTAAGCCTTTGGGGCGAATGCCGAGCCTCAAGGAATTGTGGGAGTTGAAGTCCACCACACCTGGAGGGCCGAAGGTTCCCTACCCCTGCTCTAGAGCATGGTCATATAACCCGGAAAAAACCCACAACAACTTGGCCAAGTAGATGTTCTTCTGCGTCCTGGCATTTCCAGGGTGGTAATGGCAGCATGGCACGGGACACTCTTTTCCTTCCAAGTCAAATGAGCTTTTGGGCTCTGATCCCAGCAAAGCACACCTCTTTGCCTTGGTCTCCGTTCTTCCATATCCCTATTAGGACCAGTCAGGGTCTTTTCACAGGAGGCAGGCCAACTGACATGGATCATTGCTATCACATGATGCAATGTTGGCACTATTTCAAACCGCCTTCTCCCCACAATCTTTCCTTCCCTCAATTATGACAGGTAAAAACCATCCATGGCTCCCCCCACCACTACTTTTGCTTCTGTGCCAGGAGTAATGTGACATCAGCAGAAGGGATTCCTCTGTAAGGAACCAGAGCAACTACTACTTGCTGCCTAGGAGACAATAGTAAGGATGGCTGTGGTTCCCCTGGAAATTATTGACCAGGCCCTCAACAGCACTCCTGGGTCAGCCACCTCACAGACCTCCATGACCCTTCTTTTCTATCGTACTTTGGTCTGATCTCTACACTTGGCTGGATCTGAAGGCTTGGCGAAGAGAGGTCTAACTAGTGCAGGCAAATATTTGAGCCAAGGTCTTATCTAGAGAGCCTTGCTCATCCAGGAATGAGGGTCAGAAATCCTTAGAGGGGCCTCTCTATCCAGGTATCGCTCACCTTTGTTGGAGTCAGCAGGCATCAAGGCACAGATGGCCAGGAGACCAAGGAGGAGGAGGAGGCCGGTTGAGGACTTCATGGCGAGGCAGGACTGAGTGAAGCTCCCGTTCTACCAATCTCCTTCCTTTATATCCACTTCCAGAAGAGTTTGGGCAACTCTACCTCTTGAAACTGAACAGGAAACAGAGCAAAGAGCCTACCTTGGTAAACCACCTTGTTGCATGATATCAGGAGAAATGAGCCATAAGGTCTTGCCCAATTAGAGGCAAAAGGAAGTAGATCTCTTGTCCAAGAATTGGTGAAGACACCTTGGACAGGTAAAGGTCCACCCAGCCTGGACTGCCTGGTAACTAGAACCTTAACTTAACCCCCCCCCCCCCCCAAGTAATGCACAATGAATCATCAGACATGCAAAACCACCTTGTTGCATGATATCAGGAAGAGCCATGAGGTCTTGCCCAATGAGAGGCACAAGGAAGTAGGTCTCTTGTCCAAGAAGTGGTGAGGACATCTTGGACAAGTAAAGGTCCACCCAGCCTGGCTGGGTTATGAAGGTGCAAAACACATGGAAAGACAGAGAGATGGGCATCTCCAGTCTAAAGGTCTCCAGCTCCACAAGATGCTCTTCAGACGGATTCATGGTCTTTGACCATTTGGATTGCCCTTCCCTAGACAACTTCCAGCTTGTCCATGTTATTGTTGTTTATTTGTTCAGTCACTTCCAACTGGGCAAGACCTCTCATCGGTCTTGCCCAATGAGAGGCACAAGGAAGTAGGTCTCTTGTCCAAGAATTGGTGAAGACACCTTGGACAGGTAAAGGTCCACCCAGCCTGGACTGGCTGGTAACTAGAACCTTAACTTAACCCCCCCCCCCCCCAAGTAATGCACAATGAATCATCAGACATGCAAAGTCTTCTTTGATGATGAGAACAGTTATTGCACTAGAATTGCTTCGGAGATTTGCATATCTAACAGACTGCATTCCAGGAGAAGGCTGGATTATTTTTATTTATTTACTAGCTTGGGGACCCAGCGGTGCCCAGGTTATTTGAGAAAGGCATTGTTTGTCTGTGCTCCAAGTTTAGTGTGGGTAAACTACAACTCCCATATGCAAGTCCCATCATCCATGGTCCATCCTCCTCTAAACTGCACCAGGATGTGGAGTGGGTCATGGGGGCTCTGTGTGCCAAGTTTGGTCTTGATCCATCATTGGTGGGAGTCACAGTGGTATCTGAAAATGAGTGAAGATACTTCAAGTCCCATCGTCCATGGGCCATCCTCCTCCAAACCACACCAGAATGTAGAGTGGGTCATGGGGGCTCTGTGTGCCAAGTGTGGTCTTGATCCATCATTGGTGGAGGTCACAGTGGTAACTGAAAATCAGTGAAGGTACTGCAAGTCCCATCGTCCATGAGTCCATCCTCCTCCAAACCACACCAGGATGTAGAGTGGGTCATGGGGGCTCGGTGTGCCAAGTTTGGTGTTGATCCATCATTGGTGGGGGTCACAGTGGTCTTTGAAAATGAGTGAAGGTACTGCAAGTCCCATCGTCCATGGTCCATCCTCCTCCAAACCACATCAGGATGTAGAGTGGGTCATGGGGGCTCTGTGTGCCAAGTTTGGTCTTGAACCGTCATTGGTGGGGTAAACCACCTTGTTGCACGATATCAGGAGGAGCCATGAGGTCTTGCCCAATGAGAGGCACAAGGAAGTAGATCTCTTGCCAAAGAATTAGTGAGGACACCTTGGACAAGTAAAGGTCCACCCAGCCTGGCTGGGTTATGAAGGTGCAAAACACATGGAAAGACAGAGAGATGGGCATCTCCAGGCTAAAGGTCTCCAGCTCCACAAGATGCTCTTCAGACGGATTCATGGTCTTTGACCATTTGGATTGCCCTTCCCTAGACAACTTCCCGCTTGTCCATGTTGTTTATTTGTTCAGTTGCTTCCGACTCTTCATGACCTCCTCGACCATCCCAGGCCAGAGCTCCCTGTCAGCTGTGGCCACCCTGAGCTCCTTCAAAGCCAAGCCAGTACTTTCAAGGAGACCATCCCTCCACCTTGCCCTTGCTTGGCCCCTCTTCCTTTTTCCTTCCATTTTCCCCAGCATTATTCCCTTCTCCGAGATTTCCTGTCTTCTCATCATGTGGCCAAAGGACTTCATATCCTTCCCTCCAGTGAGCAGTTGGGCTTTCTTTCCTGAAGTCTGGACTTGTCCATATCCTTCCTTAAATGTGGTGCCCAGAACTATACACAACATCATTCCAGGTAAAGACTGACCAATGCAGAATTAAGTTGGATTGTGATTTACGTGTACTAAGACATTCGCCTATGGACAGCCTAGAATCCTAGGCACCACAATTGAAGAGAGATATTGACAAGAGGAGAACGACTCAAATGATCAAGGGTCTGGAGAACAAGCCCTGTGAGGAGCGGCTTAAGAAGCTGGGCCTGTTTAGCCTGAAGAAGAGAAGGCTAAGAGGAGATATGATAGCCATGTATAAATATGTGAGAGGAAGCCACAGGGAGGAGGAGGGAGCAAGCTTGTTTTCTGCTTCCCTGGAGAGAGACTAGGACGCAATGGAACAATGGCTTCAAACTACAAGAGAGGAGATTCCATCTGAACATGAGGAAGAACTTCCGACTGTGAGAACCGTTCAGCAGTGGAACTCTCTGCCCCGGAGTGTGGTGGAGGCTCCTTCTTTGGAAGCTTTGAAGCAGAGGCTGGATGGCCATCTGTCGAGGGTGCTTTGAATGCAATATTACTGCTTCTTGGCAGAATGGGGTTGGACTGGATGGCCCAGGAGGTCTTTTCCAACTCTATGATTCTATGATTTTATTTATTTATTTATTTATTTATTTATTCCATTTCTACCCCACTTTTATCACCCAAAGGGACTCAAGGCGACTTACAACTCTGGCAAAAAGTCAATGCCAGTAAAACCAGCAATGCTGGTAGATCCCTTTCACATGGATTGTTTTCAAACCAGATTTTTCCCATCCTATATCTGTGCATTTTATTTTAATTGCCAAAGTGTAGTACCTTCCATTTCTCATTGTTGATATTGATTTTGTCAGTTTTGGCCCAGCAATCTTATTGCTTACTGCCATTTTGCATCCTGGTCCTTTCTCTGGGGTATTAGCTATCCCTCCCAGTTTGGTCCCATCTGGAAATTTGATCAGCCTACCTTCTATTCTGTCACCCACATCATTGCTACAGATGTTGACTAGGACTGAGCCCAGAAATGAACCTTTCTCTCCAGGAGAAATGAGGAGGAACCATTGGGCAGACGCAGCCTTTGTATTCAGCCACTCAACCAGTTTCAGTTT